GAGGATGCGCTCCCGTCGGCGGTTCCTTTCCCCCCTTTCCCGGCCTTCCCTTGCGGGGTGCGGGAGCCCCGCGCAGCCCCTTCCCGCGCCGCGGGGTGTCCCCAGCCCCGAGGCGTCCCCGGCCCGACGAGCCCTCAGCACCCCGCGCACCCCTCGCGCGGAGCCGCCAGGTGCTCAGCTCCCTGTCTCCCCGCAGCCGCTGCCATGGCTCCCGGGAAGAAGATCACGGCCAAGATCAAGAAGACCTTGCCGGTGACGGGCCCCCAGGCGCCCACTCTCAGCGAGCTCATGAGGTGGTACTGCCTCAACACCAACACGCACGGCTGCCGGCGCATCGTGGTGTCCCGCGGACGCTTGCGCAGGTTCATCTGGATTTTGCTAACTCTGAGTGCGGTCGGGCTCATCCTGTGGCAGTGCGCTGAGCTCCTCATGAACTATTACAGCGCTTCGGTGTCCGTCACCGTCCAGTTCCAGAAGCTACCCTTCCCGGCCGTCACCATTTGCAACATCAACCCCTACAAGTAAGATACCGGGATCCCAGGAGGTCTGCCCAGGTCCGGGGAGGGGACGGAACCGGCCCCCGCGCCAGACGGGGCTGTCCTCACCAAATTCATCCCCTTTTAACTGTCCCGCACACAGCTCTGCGCTGCTCTTGCTGCTGCTCTGCAGTGCTGCTCTCTAGCAGCCTCTCTTTGCTGTTAGCTTTCCCTCTACAGCACTTTGAATAATGTAGCTACCCGTGTGCTAATGCTGCTCAGACACTCGTGCCTTATAATCACATCCTTCCCTCCCTGCCTGCTGCTCTGCTTAGCTTGCAGCTGAACGCAGATCCTGATCATTTCTGTGGTTCTCTTTAAATGCTCTTTTTTTTTTTTTTTTTTTGCTAGGGTTTCAAGGATTACAAACAGCTCCTGGTTCCCAAAGAAGGCAAAGGGGGCATGGACATCTGTCACCTCCTTTTTTTTTTTTTTCCTCCCCATGGGATGCCTTGACATGAACGATCACAATTAAGCTGTTTCTTTYCTGCCTAATTGCACTTTTTGTTGATGCCTGTTCTGCAGTCGTCTGTCCATCTCGGTCCCTCCAGGCATTTCAACTCTCTGGGCCCTTTGGCCCTAGGAATCTGCACCTTAGATCGCATTGCCACAGGTCCGTAGTCTTATTTTCCCAGCTGAGTCTCTTTACACTTTCTGTCCACCTCTTTSATCTCTCTCGTGTCTTACAATCCTTCTCCTTTGGTAATTCCTGCTCTGTCCCCTCGAGCTTGCTAACAAAGCCAGCAAGGAGCTGGGGTGTTGGCTGGCGCTTTCTCCGGAGCTCGGTGTGTGTTGCTCCTGTGCTCCCCTCGGTGGCATCTGGCAGCTCCTGTGCTCCCCTTGGTGGGATCCGGCAGCGGGCAGGACGGCTCCTGCCCACATGGATTCGGGTTCATGTAACACTGAGGAGGAAGCACCGATGCGGCGACAAACTCTGTCCCGGGCCATTAGTTTCACAGCGCAATGGACAAAATGCTGCGATGAGGAGATTAGATGAGATGAATGACACACAGTTTTATATTGCATTTTCTCCAATATAGGTACAGTGCAATGAAAGACTATTTATCTGAGTTGGACAAAGAGACAAAAAACGCTTTGGAAACTTTCTATGGATTTTCGGAGGGCAAATCCAAGGTCCGTCGCTCAGTTGGTGACGGGAACAGCACAGGGAGCGAATTCTTCCAGCAGATCCCTCTGCTGAAGTTTGAAGATTTCTCCAAGATGGTCACTGACCTCTACAGTGGCCAGAAGAGAAAAATGGAGGGCAAAGTCTTCCACAAAGATTCATCCATAGTAAACTCAGGCGACTCAAACGATATCATTGGCTTTCAGCTGGTGAGTGTCCCTCTCCCGTGACCAGCAAGTTCYGTGTGGGGCAAGGGCCGGGTGTCCGGGTTGGTGTCCCACAGAGCAGCACTCTTGCTTGCATGGGTTTCGATTCTAGTGCACGCAGCTCCAGATGCTCCTCTGTCCTTCCTGCYGTGCGCCAGGGCTGCCGGCGGGTTCCCCCGCAACCCTCCACAAGGGAAATGCCCTCGTGAAAGGCAGCCCCAATAGACGTGGTGCCACCCTGACCTTCTCCCCTTCAAGCCTGAAGCATCTGACCCTGACGTTTAGCCCCAAATTCAAGGGTTATTTTTTGGTGCTCCCTTGTCCTATTGCTGCTACTCTAACTTCATACTTCATTATACCTGTTTTGAAAAGAAGCTAAGCTATATCATGCATACTTTGTGGAATACATAATTTCTTGTCATCTGAAAGAATGTTTTTTCCTGTTTGTAATTACCAGTGTGATGCAAACAACAGCAGCGAATGTGCTCTCTACACATTCAGTTCTGGCGTTAACGCTATCCAGGAATGGTACAAGTTGCATTATATGAACATCATGGCACAAATTCCCCTGGAGACTAAAGAAAAACTGAGCTATTCTGCCGATGACCTTATACTAACATGTTTCTTTGATGGCMTCTCTTGTGACAAAAGGTCAGTTCACAGAAAATACCTTCTGGTTTAACAATTTGTTTCTAAATATACAGTGTGTAGGAGCTGAGCATTTGCTATTCGCAAAATTCCAGCAAGGACCTCTTTCATTTTCAAAGGAAAATAGACATGCAAAGCTTCGTGCATTTTAACTGTGTTCTTTAATCTCRCTTGCATAGGGTTGCACTGTTCATATTTCAGAGAAATTCTTATTTTCTTGACAGAGTGAGATTTACCCGCTTGTGATTTTGGCAATGCACTTCCATGTGCGGTGGTAGCAGGAGGATTTTTCCATAGTGCTGGGGTTGACAACAGAGTTCCCCCATGTACCTGTGGGCATAAATATAAATATATATATATATAAAAATATATATATATATATATATATTTGCATTAGCAACTTCCCAAGTCAAGGTGCCAAGCTCTAACTCACAGCTTGGCAGGTATTGCTGATGTCTGCAGTAGTGCAAAAGCATCACAAATTTTCTTGGGATAAAGGCTTTTGCCTCAATGGGCAGGGTGGCTCACAGGTAGGACATAAGCTTGCTTAAATCACCAGGGTGTTTCCTCAGCCGCCCCTACATGACAGTGGCTAAGCCTTTCTTTTTTTCCTGAAAAAACAAATGAGGATTTATGGTCCTCCTGACACTTGGGAGCTGAATAAGGGAGGACTCTGTCCCCACCGCTTCCCTGTTATTCTGTAAATCTGCTCCCCCCACGCCCCACGTCCCCTTTCCCACATGAAATACTTCTAAACTTTTCATTTCCCAGTGCTTATAAAGCAGGTCATATGTCCACCTAGTTTCAAGATAATTAAAAAAAAAAAAAAAAAAAACTTTTCAGCAAATAAAGTCCCTGCCAAAAACAAAACAAAAATCCAAAAAGAAAACAAAATCCAGTCGTGCTAAGTCTCTGCCAAAAAAAAAAAAAAAAAGCCCTTCCAGTAAGTCTCAGCCGCAGACAGCTACAACTGCAGAGGGCAATGTAAGGATATTTGATGTCTTTTAGGCACTTCACTCGTTTCCACCATCCACTGCACGGCAACTGCTACACCTTCAACAGCGGCGAGAACGAGACAATCCTGAGCACCTCCACGGGAGGCAGCGAGTACGGTAAGGAAACTCACTTTGTGCAGGAACTGTTAGATAACAAGCGGCTCAGCGAACTGGATCCTGCTGGAGAGTGATTGATGTGTTGGCTCTAGATGTACGACCTGATTGGGGAAATGCTTGTTTGAACTAGTGCAAATTATTGCCAGAGAATACAAAGATAATATCATTGCATCACTAATGTTTTCCATCTGAAATCACTGCTTCTCAGTTATATAACATTTAAAAGTAAGTTTCAGCTGCATTCTAAAGAGATTTGCATTATTTGTTGTGGCGGGGTCTGCAGAGGGACAGTGCTTGCTGCAAGAGTCTGAGTGCGGCATTGCAAAGGCCTCACTTGGTGTTACAGTTCCACTTAAGGCTAACGAGTATTAAGTAAACCGCGCTGCCCTCCCGGTCCAGAAAAGCTGTCTGTGGCGTAACCCTGCTCCTGCCCTGCCTCTGCTCCTCAGGACTGCACGTTGTTCTGTATATAGATGAAGCAGACTACAACCCTTTCCTGGTGACGTCAACCGGGGCCAAGATCATCGTCCACGATCAAAACGAGTATCCCTTCATCGAGGACATCGGCACGGAAATTGAGACGGCAGCAGCGACCTCCATAGGGATGCACTTTGTGAGTGACACCAACTTGTTTCGAGGTGCACAGCACCGTTTGCATGAAGCAGGTGTAGATATGGTCTGCACAGCATACGAACATTAGCCAGGAGCTGGGATAGCCTCTAATGCCTCCCATTCGTACCTGTGAGGTGCCCGAGGAGCATCCTGGTGCAGCCCTTTCCTGAGCTGTTTTCCCTTGCTGTAGGGCTGTTGGAAAAACGAGTCTTTAGAAAACAAAACAAAACAAAAAGCTGCTGAGGATTTTGTTCCCTCTCCCTTTCCTCCTACCTTCTGGTCTTTCTGAGGATTTTTTGTTTTTCATGGCAAAGCGTGCGGTTGCAGAGGTGCTGCGAGCTGCCCGATGGCTCTGCGGTGCAGGGGTGGGGGGGCCACGGAATCACAGAATGTTTAAGGTTGGAAGGGATCTCTAGAGATCATCTAGTCCAATCCCCCTAGTGCAGCCGGGCTCAGCAGGTGCTGGGCTCAGCAGCCGGGCTCACAGCAGCCGGGCTCAGCAGGTGCTGGGCTCAGCAGCCGGGCTCACAGCAGCCGGGCTCAGCAGGTGCTGGGCTCAGCAGCCGGGCTCACAGCAGCCGGGCTCAGCAGCCGGGCGGCTCCAGGGCCGCGGCTCCTGCGTTCGCCCCGCGGCCCCGCAGCCGGGGAAGCATCAGGCTCGGCCGGCGGCCCCTTTCATGTGCATGGGCTCTCAAGTGAGCAATTTGGTTCTGCCGTTGCTTTTCTGATGGTTGGATCAGATGCATCAGCTAATTTGCTTATCTGGGTGTGCCAGGGCTAGATAGGCCATGCATTAGAAAGGACATTAAAAACAAGGCTGCTGGTTTTAAATGTGCGAACAGCTAAATATCTTCCATCTGTCTGGAAAACTGCGGCGTCAACAGCTGAATCTACCAGCAGCTAGAAATGGTACCTGACAAACAAAAAGTGAATAAAAGGGATCAGAACAATAACAACAACAACAACAAAAAAAAAAGTGGAAAGGAGGCAAAGTCTCATACACATGTATGTCCTTTATAACTATTATGCCATACAGTAGAAAGTCACTGCAGATAGTCCCAGCATTTAATTTAGGTCACTGTGTTTATGTCATTGCTCATGTATTTCTGCTGTGTGCAAGAATGCCCTCGCCACTCCAAAAATATTCCAGGATGTCTGGAATGCAAACAAGGCTTTACTTGGTGGGAGTTTCAGTGCTTTAGTTAAATATTTAGTTTGGAAATTATTTCAGTACCTGACCAGGTCTGCTTTTGCAGGAACAGATGGCATGACAAAATAAACCATACAAGGGGTCTGTCACCTGCCAGAAGATACAGTAGGAGGCTCCCTGAGCAGCTATCCCAGCGTTAGGTTGCCCACAAAAGCTAGTAACAAAAGCTGGTTTCAGTTTTCAGAAGCTCCTCCATCTCTCGTGTTGATATCACTTATTTTTCGCAGTGATTTTAGCATCTTTTTGAAAGAACTGGCTTGCACCATGCATGCAATACCTTCTGTCACAGAAGCCATAATTATAAAGATTTGCATTTCTACAGTGCYGTAGTTGTTTACTGCTTTGCAGATAAAAATGGTAATTCCTGCTATCAGCTTTGACCCCAGCAGCCTGTAGGTCTATAAGCACCGTCCTAAATGTATGCAGGCATTTATCAGGTTCCTGCTAAATATATCCTTTGCAAGAGCAGGCACTAATTTAAACTCTGCATAGGAAGAAAGCCCAAGTGAATGGGTTTTTCAACGAGTGACCGTGCTTGCAGTTTGGGGCAACGCTCTTTGCAGGGGGTGCGTCCTGGGGCCCGGGCTGCAGCGCTCAACCCTCCGCACAGCTCCGGCGCCGCAAACCCTGCTCTGCAGGCGGGCTGCGCAGCAGGAAAAGCTGTTGGTGTTGAAAGCAGAGGGAGGGTCCAAGCGGTTCGTGGAGGAGGCCTGAAGGAGATACAAGGATTTTGTTTGGAGAGGTGCTGTTGAGCACTAGTGACGCCCGAAGTGCTGTTACCCACAGCGCAGGAGCAGCCCGTAGAGCACCAGCCCGGAGCAGTACAGGTCTTCAGAGCAAAACAAACCGAGTTGTTTCACACCGAGTAAATGTCGCACGGTCACTAGGATTTGCAGTGAGAGAAAGCATATGTATGAGTTACTGTGCTGCAAAAAAGTCCTCGCTATTAGATTATGCAGTCCCAGCACCCCTGCAGAGGTTCTCAGMAAAGACTCCAGAGAAGCCAGCTACAGCAGCGTGGGGGACAGGGGCACCGAACCAAAAGGTGCCGATCGACAGGCGATYGGCAAAAATCATTGAGATGGCAAAAGTTAAAGACACAGTTGGAAGCTGCTCCTTCTCGTGCAGTTTTGGGATTGCAATGAACTACCACACTGTCGAATCCTTTGGTTCCTCTGTGATATCCCCACCAAGATTTGCTCTTTTCTGATTCCCAGACTCGGTCTCGCAAGCTCAGCAAACCCTACAGCGACTGCACTGAGACCGGGGCCGACATACCAGTGGAAAATCTCTACAACAAGAGCTACTCGCTCCAGGTAAATCTCACTTGCATTTGTGGTTTTTCTTAGTCACTTGAAAACTACCTTCCTAAAAAAAACTTTGCCATAATCTGCAGTTCAGGATCTTAGTCTGTTAACAGTCCAGGCATAGGGTTACTGTTTTTAATCACTGATGTAAAATACCACAGGACTTTTAAAAATCCAAGATTTATTCCTAAGTAGTTGATGTTTGAAGTTCCCCTAGGCACTCTGTTAGATAAAGAGAGAACATTAGCTCATTAGGCAATTTTCAAGCAATGTGAGACTGGAAAATATTGGCCAAGTAAATGTTGCAGCTTAGTAACCCTTGAAGCCAGAAATTGTGACCTTTAGGACTCCAAGAGTAACAGATACCATCTAATCAGTATCCAGATAGCAGGATGTTTACAGAGTAAGTTTCCACTAATTTTGCATGGTTTCTGTAATTGGGTCCTCTTGGAGAGTGTCACTTGTTCTGGCACCCTCTGTGCAAAGAACCATAACTGTCCTCGCCGCCGCCTTCTCTAAATCCTGTGCCTAGCTGGATTTTTATTTTATGGGGAAGTAGGAATGAAATCTGCTGTGATGCAGTGCCAGGTGAGATCACATGGACATTATCCCAGGTTTTTAACACAAGTAGTGCACAGAATCTCATGGCTCAGGAGGGCTGAGACTGGGAACAAAAGACTCGGTACTGGAAATTCTGGAATAAAAGATTAGTTCCCGCTTGTTCCCACTGATTAATCATTTCTGCACAAAATGTCAGGTCCACTGCCCTGTTAATCCTAACAATTCCCAGTCTCCAAACATGCACCAACACAAATGAGTTGAACCTGAGAACGTTTTCACTGCTGAGTCACTTCCCCACACCTAGTTGTTGATTCATGGATTAAAGTGCCTCTTCCTTGGCCATAGGAAGAATGACTACGGTACTGAGGAGCTTGAGGAAAGGGAAGGAAAAGATGAGCACTCGCAGAAGCCCCTGCTCAGAAGGGGCTGCATTTTGATGTCTCGTGTTGCAATCTTTCCCCCCATGACACTTGCCGCTTGTATTGGTTTATGTTTCAGGCAACAGAGCCCAAAGTCCTCAAGGAAAGAGGTTTTAATCTCCTAGCTGCTAGTAATGAACAGAATGCTTTAGGTGGACGGGAGCCTGGCGCTCCCCGCACGCCTGGGGAGACAGAACGCAGCCCTGTGCGTTCCCTGCGTGCCCAGCTCCCGGTTTCTGCCTCCCTGCAGATCTGCCTGCACTCCTGTTTCCAGAAGGCCATGGTGGACTCGTGCGGCTGTGCCCAGTACGCGCAGCCCCTTCCCGCCGGCGCCGAGTACTGCAACTACAAGAAGAACCCCAACTGGAGTAAGTCCCCGCAGCTCTCTCGGTGCAAACACCCCGCGGGCAGCAGGTCCCTTCACGGCACCGTCCCAGCGCCCCAAACCGGGTTGGAGGGACACCTCCGGCGCAGAGCTCCCGGAAAGCGGGAGATCTGCCTCAGCTCCACCGAGCCTCCCGTCACAGAGCCCTTCTCCCGGTCCCCGGCAGCCTGGGCATGTGCTTGCTGTGTGTGCACCTCTCAGGAGGGCCGAGCTGGAGGCTTCGCTGTGTGAGGCAACCGTGCACGTGTAGAGCGAGTGACAAGCACTACCCAGAGCGTTTTGCAATGGTCACAGGAGAAATCCTGTTATCCCCGTCACGTAGGTGAAAGCGAAGGCCTGAGGCACGCAGGCCACCTACATCCAAGCAGCCTCCGTGCAGCCCAGGCAGCCAAACACCCCTGCTCCTGCTCGGCTCCTCAAACACACACCTTGTTCTCCTCCTACAGTGTACTGCTACTACAGACTGCATGAAAAGTTCGTGAAGGAGCAGCTGGGCTGTCAGCAAATTTGCAAAGACGCCTGCAGGTAGGTCCTGCCCAGCACCAGAAGGAAAATGCTGAGCATGCAGGAGCTCCTGCTGGCAGGTAACCAGCCTCCTTTCTCTGCAGCTTCAAGGAATGGGCCCTGACCACCAGCATCGCCCAGTGGCCGTCCACCGTGTCCGAGGTCAGTGGCAGCGTCGTCCAGGGATCCCGTGCAGAGCCAGGGGATTTGTGGGGATCCCRTGCAGAGCCAGGGSATTTGTGGGGATCCCGTGCAGAGCCAGGGGCTCCTTGTGCATTTGCTAGCACCTCTCTGAGCTCCCCTCGGAGCCTCCCTGCACCTCCATCCCCAGGGCTCCTCTTGCTGCTCGTCCCCTGCATTTCATTCTGGAGCCAAACCCAGTCTCATGGGTGCGAGGTGCGGCCTCCCTTTCCAGGGCACGTCTGCACCAGTGCTCCCAAGCACAACATTATCTTCTTTAACTCTTCCAGGACTGGATGCTTCGAGTTCTGTCTTGGGACAAAGGGCAGAAAATCAACAAGAAGCTAAACAAGTAAGTTTCCATCTGTGTATTTCTAGCTTGCACCTCAAGCTCAGATACAATCTCAGCAACCCTAATGATGGCAATTGGGGAAAAAGCTCCCTTAGAGCGGCCCAGCCCTACTGGTCCAACTGGTTATTTGCATAGTTTTTCAGTATGTTTCATGTTATTGTTTTACTAAAACCTCAACCTCCTTCTGCTTCCCTTCTCAGAACGGACCTAGCAAACCTCATGGTGTTTTACAAAGACCTGAATGAGAGATTCATCTCAGAGAATCCCGCCAACACGGTGAGTAGCTGCTGTGATTCCTGCATGCTCGGGACCAGGCGAAGGTGCCTCCTCCTCCTGCCGGGCTGGGAAACTCCGTGTAGCCACACACCTGGTCCCACGCAGGCAGGGCAGGAGACCGGCCGCGGATGATGCACCCTGGGGCTCCCCGCCTTGCCCTTTGCAGTCTTTTATTCAGAGCAGCCTTTCACACTGCTTGGTCCCCAGCTATGCGGTAGCCTGCAGGCTGCCTGGGGTAAGGGCAGAAGGAGCTTCCTGCGAGGCAGAGCACGAGAAGACAGCGCCAGGAAGGGCCCGTGGGTCCCCGCGTGCGGCTGCAGCTGCAGTGCACGCAGGAGCCACCCGCGCGCCCCAGCCGGGCTCCCGAGGAGCCCCTGACCTTGGGCTCCCTTCTCTTCCAGCTCGTCATTCTCCTGTCCAACTTCGGGGGCCAGCTGGGCCTCTGGATGAGCTGCTCAGTCGTTTGCGTCATTGAGATTGTGGAAGTTTTCTTCATTGACTCGCTTTCCATCGTGATGCGGCGGCGGTGGCAAAAGGCGAAGAAATGGTGGAATGACCGGAAAAGAAGGCAGGGCGGGAAGCCATCCCAGGAGAGCGAGCTGGAGAGACAAGGCCACGAGAACCCCGTGTGCCTCGACGAGGACCTGCCCACGTTCAACACGGCCCTGCGGCTGCCGCTGCCCCCCGAGAGCCCCCTGCCCCGCACCCCGCCACCYAACTACAGCACCTTGCGCCTGGAGAGCAGCTCGGCCTTCACGGAGCAGCTGCCGGACACGCTGGATGTCGGGCAACACTGACGCGCTGTGCACGACCCACGCGGGCGCTGTACACGCCCCGCGGGCAAGCCAGCACTGACGGCTTCTTGGGCCAGACCCTCCTGCAGGGACTGAACTTGCGGTCAAAGCTGCTCCCAGCAAAGCTCAGGCGCAAACGCCGAGGGCTCGGGGACGTTAGGGACTCCCAACAGCACCAATTCTGCAGTTAATTCCTGCAGGAGATGGCTGGAGCAGGATGTGGCGCGGAGCTGGGCTGTCTCGCCAGGTGGAGGCATCCATTAGCAAGAGTGTGCACAGCCCTCGGAATGCGGGCAGGAATTATCCACGGCAGGAGATTGATGCCGCGTTGCCTATTAATGCTAATTGCTCTCCGCTGCGCGGCTCGGCTTGTGGGAAAAACCCGGGGCTTTCAGGAATGCAGCGTGACATTTGTCACCCAGGGAAGGACGGGATCTTGGGAAGAGCACGAAAAGATGAGAGAGAAGYTCCCAGTTTGAATTTTGATTAGTGAGCTCGTGGTTGGAAGAGCACTTCAGGCTGTGATGAAAGTTAGGATAGTAATAGATTTGCTTACAGAGTAAGCTATTGCACAGCTTGTGTAAAAGAACCTGAGTGATCCCAAAATGGTAATTTTGAAGTGCACAGAACCTAATTTGGAGGCCAGTACTGGACTGCACGCGYGGCAAGCTTGCTTCATTTCACGTCGCTCAAGCCATCCACTAAACAGAGCCCCGAGCAGCTCCTGGGGCAGCCTGGCCTGGGACGCCTGGCTTCCCTGAAGCCTCACKGGAGCTGAATCCTCCTCTTCCTGCTCTGTGCGGGGAGGATCTTCCTTCCTCCCTCCCTTCCGCAAACCCCGCGTCCCGCAGCGCCCACGCACTGGAGCCGCCCGGCAGGAAGGACGCGGCTGCGGCACCGGAGCTGCCAGGCTGGGGACAGGGCCCCGCTCCGCGCCGGTCTGTCATTAAAGGTTGCGCCCGTGCCCGTCCTTGGCTCGGGTGAGCCCTGGCCGCTGGAATTTCCTGCCTTGCGTGCGCRGGCAGCAGCGCTCGGGCGCAGTGCTGCTGTGTGCCGCGAGGGCCGCCCGAGCCCTGCAGAGCCAGCACCGCAGCAAAGGGAGCGCGGCCGCCGCGGCAGCGCACCGGCATCCCCGGCATCCCCGTGGGATCCCTCCCGCCCCCAGAGCCCCTCCTGCTCCCCTGCTCCGAGCTGGGCAGAGCAGCCGCCGAGAGGCCGGCGCGGGGCAGGGAGCCGGGGTGCACGAGTGGATGCTGCCACACGGGTGCACGAGCAACAGGCTCTCGCTTCCTCTCTGCACATACTTGCTTTATATAGGACAGAGAGAATCAAGGAAGATTCTTTAATGTGCAATAAAACATATTTTAACTGGATTATTTAAATAGAGGATAAACTGAAAAAATAAAGATATATTTTTGAGTAACTGCTTCTCCCTGCTTCTAAATCATCGGAGCGGGGATCGCCTCCATGCGGGTGCCAGGACATCACGGAGCCTGGCCGGGCTGCTGCACCGCTCCGTGGGAACGGGACGCCTCGTGCAAAGCCCGTCCGGGCGCCGCRCGGGGCACCGGGCCAGGGATCCCCAATGCACCAACTCCTTACGGATGCAGACAGTTGTTACCGACCCTTTGACAGCTCCTTCACGGGCTGCGGCCTCTTGTGAGCACTGAAATGGGGACACATGTGGCTGGTGGGAAGCAGGGTCCCCGCTRCAACGTGGGCCGTTGAGCCCCGCTCTGCACCGCAGCTGCGGTGCAGCTCAGACACGCAGGGACACGGTGCAGCCGGCCGAGAAMATGCAGCTTTGTCGGGAGGCCACCACCCGCGTCGGCGCCGTGCGGGGGACAGGGACAGCGCAGGAGGCGCCGGCTCCTGCGAGCGCCGGTTCCCGTGCAACTGCGTCACCGCGCCTCTAAGGAACATTTATCACAGAGGATGGATGAGGGCTGCTGGCACCAAAGCTCAGAGGGAGGATCCCAACCTGCCCGAGCAGCCGTCCAGGCTCACACCAACCGCCCGTGTCAAACGGGAGCAGGGAGCCCCGGCTGCAGCGGTGCCCAGCACGGCCCTGCAGCTGCAGCGCCGGGAACCGCGGCCGTGCAGGGACACGAACACGGCGCCCAGCCCTGCAGCCCGTCCTGCAAGGAGCCGGCCTCACTCCCCGATAAACCCCGTCCGTGCCGCGCTCCCAGGCGGGAAACTGCGGCTTCACCGAGTGCAGGTAGAGGACAAGGACCCTGCCACGGACACCCCCGCGCTGCCCGCRCCACGCGTCCAGGCTGGCAGTTTTTGTCACGGACACTCACTACGATCACTTACAAAGCGCACGTTGGCTGGGGCGATTCCTGCCTTTCCTTGCGGGCAAGCGGTGCCTCTGGCCTTGCCTGAACAGCTCCCGCAGGGCAGCTCCAGCGAGGGGAAACCTGAAGCTCTGCACTCATTTTTGAGCTCCTGAGTCACCCCGACACTGGACAGTTCCCTGGAAGAGCAGGAGATGGGCTGAGACAAGCTAAATGCCATAAATCCAAGGCACCCGAGGAACTCGGCTCGGCTTTACGGGAACCGCGCGCAGTAAAGCTGTGATTCAGCGCCCTCACCCCTGCTTGGCCCATGGTGTCACCGCTGCCTTGGTGCCCGTGGGGACGGGGTCCTGCCTGCCCGCAAGGAGGAGGAGGAGGAAGAGCGTGGGCCGCTGCACGGCCCGACCTGCCGTGGGTTCCCTGCAGTACGTGCAGCCACGCGTGCAGTCATGGCCGAGCAGAGGTGTTAAAATAAGCCCAAGGCAGAGGGGATGCAGCAAGGAGGCAGCAAGGACCCAACAGGGATGCAGTGGGGACGCAGCAGGGATGTGTGAAACACCACCATGCACCATGCTGCTGCAGCAATGCAGAATGCCGCGGAATGCCGCGGAATGCCGCGGAATGCCGCAGAATGCCGCGCAGCCGGTTCCTTGCACAAGAGCAGGAGCTGCGGGACTGGCCTCGCACGGAGCCACCTCCCGCCCCGCACCACTTGCCACAGCAGCCGGTGCACGAGGAGCGCGAGCAGCCCCAGCTGCATGAACAGCACGAGCGGCCCCGGCTGCACCTGGGGCACGAGCGGTCCCGGCTGCGCGCAGGGCGCTCCGGCCACTCGTCCTGCCGCTCCGCAGGGTCTCCCTTGGGCTCCCGTGACTGCTCGGCACTTTCTGTCTCCTGCTCCCGCCCGGGTTGGGAGCCGCATCCCCTTGGAAAGCCGACGCTCCCACACCTGCTCGGGCAGCGTCCCGGCCCGGGCGCCCTCTCCACCGCCGCTGCATCACGAGCTCCCCGAGGGGCCGGCAGCCTCACCACCAGCCTCCCTCCTTTCGCTTACTGCCCTCCCAACCAGCTGAACAACCCCAGCCCCACGCAACGCACTGATACGGGACCATTTCTAGGCTACCTTCTACATATTTATCTTTCCCAAATACATTTCCGGAGGTGGAAAAGCGTGTGTGGCCACTATGGAGCCACACTGGGGCAAGTTAGAGGCCGCCACAGCCCCAGCGGAAGATGCATCACTGCAGAGCATGGCTACATCCAGCGTCACCATGAATCAGACTGTTTTCACAACGCCACATTGCTACAGTAGCTTCCTCACTTGTATTTTAAGACCTTCTCACCCAAGTTTACATAATCAGTCCTGCAAGGTACAGCGTGTCCGTGTTCCCGAGCTAATCGCGGAGGGTAATCAGCCCTCAGCCTGGCGCTCGTTATAAAAACGCAGCCGTCACCAAATATTTTACACCCCCCCACCCCGAGCATGGGAAAGCAGCAATAAAGCCCAGCCCGGGCATTTTGGGTCCGCCGGTTCCTCTGGGCGCCGCGGCTGGTGCTGCCCCGGTGGCGGCCGTCACCTCCCCACCCAGGGCACACTTAGGGGAAGCYGGGCTGACCTCACATGTGTTTTTTCCCAGGACACCTTTATGCAGAAAGAGCAAATCRGCGAAGCTCATTCACCTTTGGCTTATTTAGCTACCGACCGGGTCCATGAAGAGCCTTGGCTGCAGCAACCAGCTGCGTGAGCCCCGAGCGGCACCAGCTCCCGCACTGGCTCCATCCCAGAGCGTGTCCGTGGGGACACGAGCCCCAGGTGCTGGCCCCCGCGCCGAGGCGGCTCTGTCCGAAGCAGAGGCGGCCCCATCTCGCTGTGGGAGGGCAGCGCGGCCCCGGGCCCGCGGGACACGGGCAGCGGCGCAGGAGCTGCGGGCCAAGGCGCAGGGCTCGGCGGCAGCAAGACAAGAGCCCGCAGCGAAGGGCGCGCACTGCGGCGGCCGCTCGCCCCGGCCCCGCTCGGCACCAGCGCCRGGCATCGCTCCCTCCGGCCCTGCGGGCACCACTTCCTTCATCATTTCTGTTGCTCGTAAAACAAAACCAGGGCTCGTTTTACTGCCTGATCTTTGTAATGCAAACACRGGCTAGTTAAAGAGGTTTTATACATGGCAATAACTAGTGCAACTTGGCTGCTTAGGCGGTCAGCATCACTTGATTGTGATTTTACTGCTCACAACTAAATTGCTGTATATATTATTTTGTTTAGTGACAGCATGTTTCTAAAAGTGTTCCTAATAAACCTGGCCATTAAAGTGCTGAATTGGCCTGTTCTCATCCTACCTGGAAACAGGTGATGCCCRATTTCTCTGGACGGGGCAGAACAGGGGCAGTGCTCCTGCTGCCCCGGCTCTTAATCATAAATTCCGGGTGAATAATGGTGATGCAGGCCGCGCTCCTGCCCTGCTCCAGCTAGCAGGATGGTGCCCTGTAAACACCAGAGTTGTCCGACTGGAAGTTTAGCCAGAGAAGTGACTAATGCCCAGCACGTACAGCTCGCAGCGCCTGTGGAACAGCAAGGGAATCAGCGCGAGCTGCAGCGCCGGTGGCGCCACACACGCCACGGGCACCACTGCGGGACATGTCGTGTCCCCCCGTGTCGCAGCGGGGACATGTGTGGAAACAAGCAAACAAATGACAAAAATCCCTCCCTTGCCCACAGTACCTGCATCCCTGTACTGGGGAAGCGACGTGAGCTCCAACGAGTGTGGCCATAGGATGCACACTGGGACCCACGGTCCTGGCGCATCCTGCAATGGGATCCTGCCGTCAGTTACCTGATGGGCCTGGCCAAAAGAAACACAGAATTAATAAACTACTAAAAGTCTTGAGGTTTTCTAGCATGTCAACTTGGTCACCATGAAAACACATCCATTTTCCCAGGTAAATTTAGCATCAGTTGCTGTTTTAGCTACCCTGCGGATCAGACTGGGACAAAAACATTTTCTGTGTTATTTGCCCCACGTGTCTGGTTTCTCAGCTGTATTTAACCACCGTCAATAGTGCATCATGCTAGCACAACAGGCAGTCCTGGGAACACAATGCACCAGGTATAGAAAAGATTTTCATAGTGTTTTTCAGCTGTATTTTGACAGGAGGGTTTTGCTTATGCAATAAACTTTGTCATCGAGTGAGAGATGCAGCACAAAGTCAGACGGGATTCAAGGTCATTCGGCCTCTCAGATGGCCCCACTCTGCTTGGGGCAGCGCGGCTGCGGCGCCGCTCACTGACGTCGTCCTGCAGAGAAAAACGCCACAATGGGGGCAATTATTTTGACAGGACGGGAGCGAGGAACTGGCTGAGTCCTGGCATCCCCATGAAACCTGCTCGCTCCAGCTGCACTTGAAAACACTGTTCAAACACAATCCCGCGTTCCATTTGGGACCCAACGGCGCGAGGCACCTTGCGCAACTTAAAAATAAAAATCCCTTTTGTTCACAAATGGTCAAATGTTGGG